TGCATAGGGATATGTTCAATGATCTTTGCGAAACTATGAAAATGCGGATGGATAAAATGAGAAAGCTAGAAACAGTCGGTTTTATCATCTCGGGTATGTACAAGCTTTTACATTTGCTAATTCTTGATTCATATAACTCAGTTTTATCATTTTAGGCTTGAAGATCTCATTGTTACGGTTAGATTTACCAGCGGGACATGTTTGTAGATTGTCACGGACACGACTTTTTGAGATACCAACTCATGTCTCTGAATTCGGTACAAAAGTCCTTCCAACAATGTGCTTGATATGGAAGGCAAAGGTAAGTATCGTCGTTTTAGGTATTTATAATTGTCTTAATTCGTTTATTTTTTTCTCAAACTTTTTTAAAGGCAATAGTGAAAAATGTAATCAAACTAACAGAGGAAGAAGATCTGACGGAAAAAGAACAGCTCGACATGCTACAGAACTGTGATGAAATTGATGAAAGTGGTTTAACGACACCGCCACCTAAATTGCAATTACTGTCAAGTTCTGTGACGCCAGAAAATATAGGAAAGAGTAGAAATGTCAAAAAGTCAAACCGCTGAAAATTTTTATTGTGATTGGGTTCTTTGGTTACGTTATTATCAAAAATTTGTAATAAAATGTACCCACGCAGTTGAGCTCCTGATTTTTGGCATGTGTATGCGTGTGGTGTCGTGTATACGTGCCCACCGGAAAACTATATGCCAATTTTTGATTAAGTATTTAGCAGTATTGATATACCACTTAATCAGGCGATCGTAATAAATCGACGTAACCCTCTATCCGTCAAGTAGTTCGGCGCCAACCAATTCTCGAGATTTAAATTGCAGAATATAAACAGATTAGTGTTTTTTATTGTCAGATTCTAGTTTGGCCACGTTTTTTTTTTTTTGTGAAAGTATATGCTATTTGTCTTAAGACATTGGCTCTAGGAATAAAATCCTAATGGCTCATCGGGTAGTATTTCTCCATCTATTAATTAAGCAATTAATGGACGCATCTACCAGTTAACAAAACAAACTAGTGTTATTAAAACCCACCAAACGGAATTTACGAAGGAAAGAGTAATGATGTATAAAGAAAGCAAAGTTTATGGGACACATTAATCAATTAATTGATGAAAGATTCTCTATACCCAATTTTAACAATCAAAACAATTAAATAAATGATAAAAAGATTAAAAATATTTTATAATCCAAAAAAAATAAGTATAAAAATATATTGTGATTATAGATATTTTAACGAATAAATTATAAGAAAAATATTTTTATTGTACAAGCCTAATCAGACTATTTCCTTTCTAGTGTGAAAAGGTTTTACTTTATATTTTTTTTCAATCTTTCTTGATTATATCAAGGCTTCGTTGATACCTTCTTGGGTGTGGTCAGTAGTTGTATGTGAGGCGTAGAAGTTTCGGTAGACTTCCGTGGTTCTCTTATTACACTACAAGTATCCACCAAGAAAAACCAATTTTTATACTACATTTATATCTGGCTCTCGCCAAAAAATAATCGTTATTTCTTCGGAACTTGACTAGTCAAGCTAATTCTTTATATAATATTTTGTTTTTAGCACAAAGTTCAACTTGAAACGCGCTTATCTACTATGAGTCAATCTCGGCGATACATCGAATCTCAATAGATCTCGGAGGATTTCTTCGCCAGTGATATTAAGTCGATTAATTCTTCGAAAACTACCATTGTGAATATGGAGTTTACCTTCCTTGAGAAATTTATGATAAAAAGACAGCAAAGACGAATTGTTAATATATTGTTAAATCGTGGGTTACTTTCTTCTGGTACCGTAAAAGCTAACACTTTCACACTTAATTTAGAAAATCTTTCGAACCACGATTTGGAAATTATAGCAAATGCCACCTATGATGAATTATGTAAAATTAACAAAAGTAGGAATTCAGGGTATAGTAAACCCTTATCACCCCAGAGCACCCAAGAAATTCTGACTACTTCCGAAATACCGACAAAATTTCTGCATTTATTGCAATCTGAGATCTTTAGTAAAACTAAAGGTGAATCTAATATTAACGAATCGGGAGTCAAAAATTCAGTGTCCTGGGCTTGCTTCTCGACCTCTGGTAATCGGTTTTATAAAAAATTCCACGATTATTGCTGTCGCCTTTGGCGTAAAGTGTCACACGCATATCAACATCATGAAGCCTATAAAAATAGGCTAGAGCTAGATATTATCCCAGAGACCCTACAACGAAACAACGGAAAAGGTAGCAGGTGGTATTCGTCTCGACGGATATAAATATGTTCGGGAACCACAATGCTTTGAAAATGCTTTTGAAGAGATGATGATCGATTTTTTTGATCTAACTGACATCTCAGTTGTAAAATCTGCACGAGTAGTAGTGGATCAGTATTATAATCATAACCTCAATCACTTATCTCATCAATCCAAACAATTTTCGAAGGACCTAATAGAATATTTCGGCAGTTTTACCGACAGCAATAATGAGTCATACGTATACCACCATAAACACTGCTTCCACCCATTGCAGGGAACATCAAACGTGTGTTCAGGAATTAATAAAAGATATTCAACCCATCTCCATTACAATTAACGACTATTTTGATAAAACATACCCAATCCTATATGCCAAAATGAAGAAACTCGATCTTTGACCCAATATTCCTAGATCCTTCGGAGCCTTCCCAGTATATCCATCAACTTTAATACTATCTGCCAATTCCATCGAGATTTGAAAGACCACCAAAATACGCTTTGTGTCGTCTGCCCTCTAGGGCTATTCGAAGGTGGAGAGTTAACTTTTCCAGAGTTAAAGTTGATTATTAATGCTAAGCAAGGACAAGCAATAGCTTTTCGATCAAACCTCCTGGTTCATGGAAATCTCCCGGTCATCGCTAAAGTTCGGCACAGTGTCGTTTTTTATATACATAACACAGTAATCAAGCAGAAGCGCAAATTTGGCTCTCTTTTTACCGATTACGAGTTAGACTGGGATCATAATAGCAACGAGGATGAGGTATTACCAAAATATCTCCTCCCGATGCTTGGTTCTGGAGATAATGTAACGAAACCAAAAAATCATAGGCGGAGTTATCTCGGTAGGTGTAATTATCGTATCTTTTTCATTGAACTTTTATATAGTCACTTTATAGCAGGTTAGTGTTTCTGGTACATATTCACTAACAGTACATAATATATATTTCTCTCAGATTTAGAGCCTGCAAAGAGAGGATTACCTGCTCAGTACAAAAAATCTTGATGAGAAGCAGGTCGTTAGGCGATTCTTTGAATCATATCAGGATAATGTCAATTTTTAATGTAAACATATCAAATAAAGAATCTTATTTGTAAATATATCATCAATCATCACGGGTTAAATAAAGAATCTTATTTGTAAATATATCATCAATCATCACGGGTTAAATAAAGAATCTAGGCCATATAGGGCACTCTTCGAGAATCCAATCTCACTAAAATTGAATCGCATATTCGTATTATATAAAGTTATTAAATCTAATAGGTCTAAATATCCTAATCGATAAATATGTCTGGTTTTGATATCGCTACTATTATTGATAAAAAAGATAAAACA